TATTCAATAAAAATAATTGCAGGAATGTTGTTTAGTTAACTTCCTTGCTGTGGCATCAATTGAGTAAAATAACACACATCAATTAAGAGCGGATTCCAAGGGGGGGATCCAAATTCTCAGAGTGTTTCCTGCTGACTCGCTCTGGGAATTGGCGGCAAACTCCGCGCACGACCCTGATTGGCTGACGATGCGACTGACGAACTCAACTCGACTGCTGAGTCAGCATTGGAATTTCTCGCAGGATCACTCTCTCCTTTCTCGCTATCCTGTTGATACCCTCCGTTCACCTGGGAGTCCTCGTTAGTCCCTTCGCTGCTAGGCTGGGAGCAGGCTAACTCCTTCGCAGCCTGCATCTCATAATCCTGATTCAAGTCGTAAGACCGTCGTCCTTTGCGACGCCGGCCTTTTTTCTTCGGTTTTTCCCGCTCATCCGGGTCATCGTCAAATACGTCATCGCTCTCGTCAGCAGGAACGTTCCTGACTGGTTGCTTCTTCGGCGGAGGCCGCCTCTTTTTGTGCCTTCTTATATTGTTGTTCGTTTCACCCTCAGCCTGGTTTTCAGCTGAGTCCAAATCAGGCGAAGGCCCGCGTTCAGGCTGAAACTGAGTCGGTGGTACATTATCAGCGGTGTTTACCATGGCTCCGCCTTTTTCTCGTAAATTTGATGCATTCTTAGAATTTTGCAACGCATTGTATCTCCTCCGTTCTTCCCTAGCTTGCTTCTTTTTTCTAGGAAATTATTGCAAATAAAAAAAATTAGCAGAGAAAACTTACTCTAACTTTATTTGTGCTTTATTTCACTTGACAAGAATGTGAAGTTTGGTAGAGGTCAAACTGAAAATCTTTTCACATGTGACTGAGTTGAAATTATAATGAGACAACTGTATATTGCAGGAATCATATCTCAGTGACTGAGGCTCATGTAGTGTTTGGTAGAGGTCAAACTGAAAATCTTCTCACATGTGACTGAGGTGAAATTATAATGAAACAACTGTATATTGCAGGAATCATATCTCAGTGACTGAGGCACATGTAGTGTTTGGTAGAGGTCAAACTGAAAAGCTTCTCACATGTGACTGAGGTGAAATTATAATGAGACAATTGTATATTGCAGGAATCATATCTCAGTGACTGAGGCACATGTAGTGTTTGGTAGAGGTCAAACTGAAAAGCTTCTCACATGTGACTGAGGTGAAATTATAATGAAACAACTGTATATTGCAGGAATCATATCTCAGTGACTAAGGCACATGTAGTGTTTGGTAGAGGTCAAACTGAAAATCTTCTCACATGTGACTGAGGTGAAATTATAATGAGACAACTGTATATTGCAGGAATCATCATATCTCAGTGACTGAGGCACATGCAGTGTTTGGTAGAAGTCAAACTGAAAATTTTCTCACATGTGACTGAGGTGAAATTATAATGAGACAACTGTATATTACAGGAATCATATCTCAGTGACTGAGGCACATGTAGTGTTTGATAGAAGTCAAACTGAAAATCTTCTCATGTGACTGAGGTGAAATTATAATGAGACAACTGTATATTACAGGAATCATATCTCAGTGACTGAGGCACATGTAGTGTTTGGTAGAAGTCAAACTGAAAATTTTCTCACATGTGACTGAGGTGAAATTATAATGAGACAACTGTATATTACAGGAATCATATCTCAGTGACTGAGACACATGCAGTGTTTGGTAGAGTCAAACTGAAAATTTTCTCACATGTGACTGAGGTGAAATTATAATGAGACAACTGTATATTACAGGAATCATATCTCAGTGACTGAGGCACATGTAGTGTTTGGTAGAAGTCAAACTGAAAATTTTCTCACATGTGACTGAGGTGAAATTATAATGAGACAACTGTATATTGCAGGAATCATATCTCAGTGACTGAGGCACATGCAGTGTTTGGTAGAGTCAAACTGAAAATCTTCTTTCATGTGACTGAGGTGAAATTATAATGAGGCAACTGTATATCAGTCACAGGGATGAAAGACCCAAGCACTAACCACGAACAAGCCTTCAAGATGGTGAATTCAACTTACTTTCCACGATGTAAGATCCAGCAAATCAACGCTATGACCAAGAGCAGTAAAAACGCGATAGGAATCATGACCTTTTTCAACTTATTATTCACCTCATCCCCAGCGGAACCAGACAAAGTTTGTCCTGGCATGATGGGCCCTATACCATGCCCGATTTCTGAGCTTAATCTCGATTTTTCATTGGTTATAATTGTAAGCAATGTTCCTCCAGGAATCTTCTCAGAAGTGGAACCAACAGTTGTTGGAATTTCGACGTGGATAAGCGTCTCAAGGTTGGCGTCCTTGTTCTTAGGATAGTTGTCCACTGTTTTTACATTCTCTGGTTCGAAGCGAGTGCTAAAAATAGAAAATAATGTGAAGTTTTTGGACTAAGGTCTGCATGCTTACGGTCAAATAAAACAGTCACGAACATCAAAATCAGTCAAATGGAACAACTAATACAACTTTGTTTCAAACATATAATTGATGTATGAATGAACACCAGTTTCTGTTGAGTTAACTTGTGACGGACTAATGTCTCGTACAGGGACGTCATTGACTCTCGTAGTTGACTCAATTGATGAATGAGCAGCAGCTTCTGTTGATAGTTAAGCCTGGTTCACACGATGAAATAAGCATAAGCAAGCGGAACCTTTGATGTAAACATAAGAAGAACAAATGTTGCGTTCTGATCTTATGCTTACGTTTATGCACATCAAAGGTTCCGCTGCTTGTGCTTATTTCATCGTGTGAACCAGGCTTTAACCTGTGATGGAATAGTGTCTCATACATGGAAGTCATTAACTCTCATGCATATAAAGCGGTTAAGTCTCTCTTATGTTCTCTCCCACTTTACTCAGTTGATGAATGAGCAGCAGCTTCTGTTGAGAGTTAACATGTGATGGACTAGTGTCTCATACAAGGGACGTCATTGATTCTCATGTAAAATTAATAAAGTTAAGTTTCTCTTGTGTTCGCTACTAGAAATTATTCCATCCCAAGAAGACGATTGTACTTATTCGTCAGCTGAGTCAACTGGGAGAGAATACAAGCGAGACTTAACGGTTTCAATTTACCTTGTGGACAAGTCACACTCGTCAGAATTAGCCTGACAATAATCTGTTGTAAGATTTGCTATGACCTCTTGCATTATCGAGTTTTTGCTTTGGTTCAGCCATGTGTCCAAGCTGATGTTGGAAAACGTTATCAAAACACTGTGGGACAACACAGATTCTGAAAATCACAGAATAGACATATCATGTATATATACTATAGAAGCCGAAGTATCTACTCAGCACAAATACTTTTTAATCTGAGAATATAGAGGGGAATATATAGAAGAGTTACATCTTATACAGACATAAATATCATGTTCAAAAATTATACTTTAAATTTTTACAATATTCACTTTTATTCCTTTACAACAATTTTGTTAAAAACATTATCCTTTTATAAGCGAATCCATGCCACACAACACATCTAAATAAATTAGTTTTAGCCCAGTAAACCTTTGTATAACTTACCACTTATCGGTGCTGCATACAAAATCCGTAATTGTCCACACAGGATTAAAAAAAATCCAAAAATAAATATACTCCACTTCATCTATTTGCTGTACGTAGTCTTGACGATCAAAAAGATTAACCGAACACGTTTAACTGCAGATTGTATTCTCGTAGTAATTCTTTCATCGTACTGACTGGTTGCTAAAACACTATTTTAATTTCGTTTACTGTTTTTCCACCTGTAGACATTAGCATCGTTACGTTGGAAACAAATGCTAAGCAAAATTTGCATCGCGTCTAATGCATTTTTAATCAACGCGCCAAACGTGTTGTTTAATTGTATAAAACAGCTGTCTAGATTTGAAATATTTATTATAAATAAACAATTAAAACATGGCGAAATGCTTTCGTCTTTGTGTTTTAATTGTAAGACGATTATTCACGTCGCTGTTTGGATGAAAATATAGTCAATATATATAGTAAAGCTACTAAAAGAATGCTCGGAAGAATACATGGTGCATAATTTATGCTGGACACAATTATCAGTGTACACGATCTTGGACAAAGCAAAGATATGGTTCGCCTGATATAAAGTCGTCTGTGTATAAACGTGACAAACAAACGGATCATCCGTGTAGATGAACTATCTGTCTACTCAAGTGAACTTGTGCGCGTCTGTTTGTCGTGCTTAAACACAGAAGAATTACCAGAAAGTAGAAGAACTATAACTTTTCTTTGCCGAAATTTGTCCAGGCGGATCATACATCTCTAGCATAAATCAGAGCTGTAATTGCTTGTTTTATACAAAACATAAACGTCGGCATGAAGCTTTCCATCCCTAGGGCTGTTTCTTCATCAATGCAAATCATATTTTCTGCTAACAATTAACTCTGCTTCATTATTCGCCAAAGTGAAGGCCATTGGAAACTTTTCATTTGCATAACAATTACAGTCGCATCCAGTCGCGATCCAGTGACCAGAATGTTGCATTATCTTTTCATTATTTTGAAAATCTCACTGTTTTCCATATATCAACTCCAGTCACTCATTGTTTTGACCTAAAACCTTAAAAAATCTCAACTATATTGCCATTGGCTAGGTCTTTTCAACACGCCTCTCGGAGTTAAAAAAGCATATATTATTTTAGTGGCAATACCCACAAATTATTTCGCGATACTATAAACATAAATATATTTTAAAGTTAATTTCATCCTACCGTGTGCATCGTAATTAAATATTGCAAGAAATTATTGTATATAGTTGCTCATCTGTTCTTTTTAAAACTTCGTATTTTAGCGAATTTAGTCCATCAGTGTCTTTAAAATCTTTCCACTTTCTTAAAGTATTGTATCTGAAAAAAAAAATGAGAACAAACTAAACTAACTTTATTTATACTGGATAGCTCTATCAGTTCTAAACTGTTCTTCCTAGAGGTCCAGTAAGGATCATCTCTTATTGATCCAGTGTTACTACAGGAGGAAACCTAAACTAAACTAACTTTATTTATACTGGATAGCTCTATCAGTTCTAAACTGTTCTTCCTAGAGGTCTAGTAAAGGTCATCTCTTATTGATCCAGTGTTACTACAGGAGGAAACCTAAACTAAACTAACTTTATTTATACTTGATAGCTCTATCAGTTCTACACTGTTCTTCCTA